CAAATATCTTCCCAGTGAACAAAACACCTTTCCCAGTGAGCAAAACACCTTTTCTTAGTGAACAAAACAATTTTCCAAGTGAACAAAACATCTTTCCCAGTGAACCAAACACCTTTCCCAGTGAACCAAACACCTTACTCAGTGAATCAAACACTTTTCCCAGTGAATCAAACACCTTTCCAAATGAAACAAACACCTTTCCCAGTGAATCAAACACCTTTTCAGTGAACCAGACACCTTTCCCAGCAAACCAAACACCTTTCTCAGTGAACAAAACATCTTTCCCAGTGAACCAAACATCTTTCCCAGTGAACCAAACACTTTTCCCAGTGAATCAAACACATTTCCAAATGAAACAAACATCTTTCCCAGTGAATAAAACACCTTTCCAGTGAACCAGACACCTTTCCTAGCAAACCAAACACCTTTCCCAGTGAACCAAACACCTTTCCCAGTGAACCAAACACCTTTCCCAGTGAAACAAACACTTTTCCCAGTGAATCAAACACCTTTCCAAATGAAACAAACACCTTTCCCAGTGAATCAAACACCTTTTCAGTGAACCAGACACCTTTCCCAGCAAACCAAACACCTTTCCCAGTGAACCAAACATCTTTCCTAGTGAACCAAACACTTTTCCCAGTGAATCAAACACGTTTCCAAATGAAACAAACATCTTTCCCAGTGAATCAAACACATTTCCAGTGAACCAGACACCTTTCCCAGCAAACCAAACACCTTTCCCAGTGAACCAAACACCTTTCCCAGGGAAACAAACACTTTTCCCAGTGAATCAAACACCTTTCCAAATGAAACAAACACCTTTCCCAGTGAACCAGACACCTTTCCCAGTGAACCAGACACCTTTTCCAGTGAACCAGACACCTTTTCCAGTGAACCAGACACCTTTTCCAGTGAACAAAACACCTTTCCAGTGAACCAGACACCTTTCCCAGCAAACCAAACACCTTTCCCAGTGAACCAAACAAATTTCGCAGTGAACCAGACACCTTTTCCAGTGAACAAAACACCTTTCCCAGTGAACAAAACACCTTTCCCAGTGAGCAAAACACCTTTCCCAGTGAGCAAAA